GCAGCAACAGGATATTCTGTTGGAGACATATTAACTCTGTTTTATGGATATAAAACATGACCGTCATTCGTATAAAGCTGAAACACAGCCCTTTTCTGTAGCGCAAGGAGTAGTGTAGTCAGGTTTGTCACTTGTCACTAATCAAGAGTATAAATCAAAATAAACTGCACTACACCCTTGTATCTTAGCTGGATATCACACTGAGGAAGATGATGAGGAGGACAGTTCCCATTTGTGCTAATTAAGCTTTCTGACAGGCAAATGTATCTTCGTTCACAGGGAACTACATGGTTTAGAGTGGGAGTTAATAAGCAGAAGCAGCACTCAGAGCCTGGGGAGTGGGTGAGACTGATGCTTCCTCTGGAAGATCGTGTGGGGCTGGTCTCCAAACACTCCCAGCAGGACCAGACCCTGCCGAGCAGAGGAGCTGTGTTTAAAGGACATCCGCGGGGGCTGAGGGAACCCATGTTCCTTGTGCTAGAGCCTGGTGTTGTGCAAAAGCTGTGTTCTGGGGAAGTACAATGTGAAGCACTTCTGCTGGAAAAGGTTGGCCAGTGCTCCAGGGACCTGCCTTTGTTAATTTGCCTCTGCGTCTGTAGCAGGAGGGGGATTGCTGGGAAACAAATAAATAGCATGAACAACTCTCCTGGGAGAAAGAGAAGAACCTTTTTCTAATAGTCTATTGACCAGATACTGTCTTGCAAATTCCTTAATGCTGATGTAACATCATTAATGCTTGCAACCTAGGTGCTGCAGCATCAGTAGCGTTAACACTAAGGAGGCTTAGTGCCTGGCTGTCTGCTTCAGATGTGGTTTTGGGGCTTATGAATGACAGCCCAGATGATGATTATTCAGTGGCTAAGGCATACCGAGTTAGTTTCAATTGAGCTTACCCCGTGGCCAGTAGCATCTTCTCCCTGCTCAGTGCAGAAGTGACGCTGTCTTTGCCGCAGGAGGCACATGTCCCATCGACAGTGTGTCATCCGGCCTGTTTCACAGAGCCTTCCTCTGCACTTCTGTAACATGCCAAATGGTGAATTTGGTGCTCCCGGTGACTGCTAGAAAAGCTGGAGCTGCTGTGTTAGAGACTTGTAGGACAGTTCTGTGCTTTTTGAAGCTGTAGGGTAATGCAATAACTGTCCTACAAGTATAATGTTGCCTCATGGACTGCCTTTCAGATCCAGAAGTGATTTATTTTTACCTTATACTTTCATCCTTACCCTTCTGCCTCTTTGGTAGCACATCTTTTTTCATTTCTATTTTCAGTTTGTGGCTTGGGTAAACAGTCAGTGATCAAAGGGAATGGCTGAGACTCAGGAAATTCATCTCTGTTCCATAAAATGACATCTTTGTCTCCAGTGCCACAGGCTGAAGCCTGCTTTCCCCTGCTGCAGCATTCCCACATGACAGCATGTGCTGTCTAGTATCTGAGCTGCAGTTCTCTAACTTAGCAGCAGAGCCAGAAGTGTGCAGGAAAGATAAAAATACACATTAATCTAGATTTCTGCCAATCTTACCTGTCCTTAGACACAAACAAGGTTCTGAAATCCAGTGTTAGGTGGAAGGGCAAGGCCAAGGCTGATAGACATTGCTTATGCCCAAAGAGGTAGGAGTGATGTGTAGCATGCTGAGTGTTGCATGGGGATGTATATGTGCCACTAGCTAACATGTAGAACATGTACATTCAGGGTCCCAGACTTGTCTGACTGAAAGAAATAAAGCATGGATACACCAGAATACAGTAGGAAAACTGAGTACTGCAGAAGGACAAAAAATTTTGTCTGGACTCCTTCAGCCCTGTAAAATTCTGTGACCAGTAAGAAGTCCTGGAGTGTTGATTCCTGAGAGAGAAATTTCAGTTTAGTTTATTAATTTTATCGGGAGTACATCCCCACAAGGCTGTGGCCTGGTGCAGCCAGGTGAGTTCTTAATCTGATCTCAGTTGGAGCAGCTCTCAAAGTATACAAGTTGCTCAGCTGCAGCTCAACGAGCCATGCACACAGGAGATGTGCCAGTGCAATAGATTTCAGCTACTCTTCAGTGAAGGCTGAAGGACCAGGTGAATGACTGAGTTGGAAGGAGAGCCCAAGCCTTTTGGTGAGAGTCCAGATGAAGGCTCATGTTAAGTGACCTGTCTCTCCCTTCCAGAGGCTCCAGAAATCTTCTCACAGATTTGTGACTGATTATGGAGTGCTATAAGTAGTGTAATTTCATAGAATCATGGAATGGGTTTGGGGGAACCTTAAAGCACATGTAGTTACAAGCCCCTGTGATGGGCAGAGACACCTTTCACTAGAGCTGGTTGCTCCAAGCCCTGTCCAACCTGGCCTTGAACACTGCCAGGGATGGGGCAGCCACAGCTTCATTGCCTTGAAAAATATGCCAACACATTTCCAAATAGTCACATTTTAAAGATTGCTGAGCTATAGTTTTGTTTGTTTTTTTCAGACAGTAATCAGACTACCTCTTTATAAGGAATTTATGATGTTCTCCTCCTGCCAGATTCTAGACAGAGGTGTCCTCCTTTCAGTCTCAAGGTTTGTGCCCCTCACTGGATGACAGAAATGGTTGGGATTTTGAAAAGCTGAGGTGGTGAAAACCTCAGGGAGAAGTGAGGGAGACACCTCCTAAAGCAGCCTCTGACAAGATAGAAACCTTCCCAGTTGGTAGCAGATTGCTTTGGGAGTCTTTTGGGCTTTTTTCAGTCACATACTATAGTCCCTTTCTCCCTTTTATGGGCTTTATCCGTGCTTTATCATGTTGGTGTCTGGATGTACTTAGAAGGCAAAATTCAGAAGCTGTTTGCTTTTAGATGCTTCTGGCCTTTGGAGGCCTTGTTGCAGATACCTGGAGAAGTTTTATGACACTCTCCCTTCCTACAGTTCCCCTGAGGGGTGTAAGTGCTTAGCATTTCTCCAGAACAGATCAACTTTGGATCCCCCAAAATTTTGATATTAACTACAAACATGAACTACTAAGGAATCTAACAAGGCTTTCCTGCTTAAGGATTATATATTCAGAACTGAACAGACATTCGGGTCAAATATGCTATTATTTTAAAATAACACAAACCCGAAATATTACATATCCAGTGACAGTTTAAATAAAGCTCTTCCAGGAATCTCCTATTTTTCTTTCATACTGAAAATTCAAAACATAGTTTGGAGTTACAACCTCATGAATTCTGAGAATTTAAAGGATCCATCAAAATAACTTGCTCTAACCTTTATCATACTACCTCCTCCTCCAGATTGTTTACTCGTACTTCTTCATTATGCTCATAACTGCTGTGTGGGTATGCACAGTTCTTAGGTATTAGGTTTTAATACAGACTTCTAATAATAAATGGTGAAACTGATACAGAGCTTGGTTTAAACCCTACGTATTTTTTTGTCATTTCAATACAATCTCTTTCAATTCACTGCATAGCCTGGGCTTTCTGTGGCCCCTAAACATGAGCAGCTAGCACTGTGTTTTGTTTCTTCTTCAGTCTAGTTTGGTGGCTAAGGTAGAGAAATTTAACCAAAACCCCATATATTTATGTCTATATTTTAATTAAGAATAGCACTGTCATTTGTGCTGAGCATTCAAATCCTTTCATTCTCAAAGCCAACTGAGTTTTTTTGAGAAGAAAATCGCAGCATCCTAACCCCTGCACGTATACCAAAAGAGTAAAGACCAATTAAAGTCTCAATTGCATAGAGCTATGCAAGTCTCCACAGACAAGGTGCAACCTCCAGCAGTTTGCTTTCCACCTAAGATCAAACTTTAAGGTACTCTTTTTTAAACTCTCAGCATATTCAGACACCAAAGGATGGGAACAGTGTTCCTTAAGTGACCAGTGCTTTCCTCCTGACTTTCAGTGGCAGCTGTCACATGCTGGCTGCTGGAAAGGTATTTGATCCTTGGGCTAGATAGCATAGTATCAAATCATAGATGACAGCTTTAAGCAAATTGCTGTTGATGTGTAAGGAAGTATTCTAGTCTAAGCCTTATTTATAATCTTTCTTCTTCTTCAGGTATTTTGAGTTTTATGAAGGTCCTTTGGAATACAACTCTACCAAATGCCTGGAATTACGGCAGGACATCATTGAGGTGAAAGTTTTGTCTATGTAAGTATGAATGCATGCTTGCTGGAAAGAATCACAGAATTATAGAATCAACTAGGTTGGAAAAGACCTTTAAGATCATAAAGTCCAACCATTACCCCAGCACTGCCAAGGCCACTACTAAACTCTGTCACTAAGGGTCTAATCTACACGGTTTGTGAACGCTACCAGGGACAGTGATTGTACCACTGCCCTGGCAGCCTGTTCCAATGCCTAATTACCCTCTCTGTGAAGAAATTTTCCTAATACCCAGTCTAAACCTTCCCTGGTGCAGCTTGAGGCCGTTTCCTCTTGTCCTGTTACTTGTTACTTGGAAGAAGAGACTGACCCCCACCTGGCTCCATCCTCCTGTCAGGCATTTGTAGAGAGCGATAAGGTCCCCACTGAGCCTTCTCTTCTCCACACCAAACCCCCCAGGTCTCTCAGCTGTTCCTCATCACACTTGTGCTCCAGGCACTGCACCAGCTCTGTAGTCCTCCTCTGGCCCTGCTCCAGCACCTCAGTGTCTTTCTTGTAGGGAGGGGCTCAGAACTGAACACAGGATTCGAGGTGCAGCCTCACCAGTGCCCAGTGCAGGGGGACAATCATTGCCCTGGCCCTGCTGCCACACTGGTGCTGATACAGGCCAGGATGCTGGTGGCCTTCTTGGCTGCCTGGGCACAAGCTGCTCATGTTCAGCTTTGTCAGTCAGCACTCCCAGGTCCTTTTCCACTAAGCAGCTTTCCAGCCACTCTTCCCCAAGGCCAGAGTGCTGCATGGGATTGTTGTGACCCAAATGCAAAGGTTACTTTTCAGGCAGGATGAAAATTATAACTTAAAATGACATTGTCAAAACATACAAGGCTCAAGAGATCCCATCAATAGGTACTGCATCAGAGATTCCTGAGGTTATCTTATATGTGCAAGTAGTGACATTAAAATTTGACCTGAGGTCCATTTAAGAAAAAAGGAAGCTTTTCACATAGATTGAGGTATTTTAGTCAGGCCCATTATCCTTCTTTGGAATAAAATACAGTGTAATATTTAATACCAGGTAATTAAAGAATAAGAACAATCAGAGTGACTCACAGCAAGAGTAAGAACAGCCAGAATGACTCACAGCTAAAGGCTCTATCATTGACAATGGCCAGTAGCAAAGGCTAAGAAATGAAACAAAAAGGTTAGTTGTACCTGATAACAAATAGCGTCATGGGGACTTGCTGGGTGGTAGATCGTGACTAGACTACAGCAATTAGAACAGACAATAGACTTCTATATTAATTTGTTTAGATCTTTTCTGAGCCCATTTGTACTTTTGACCTCCTCAACCAGCAATGAGTTTCACAAGTTAATAGGACTCAGTAGAAAGTATGAAAATGTAATTAAGAGAAACAACAAAATACCTGGAATTTGTCTTTTGTGGTCCTTTCATCAGGAGACTAATGAGGTGAATGAGGTGCATCCATGAAACCATAGTGATGGAATAGGGCCGAAAAGTGAGGCTGCCAGTGAAACTCATTGGGCAGAGCATAGCAAAGTGTTTTTTGTGTTGCCCTTTTGTATTTCCAGCACTGCACTGAGTTTAGGTGCTCAGATTATATCTAATTCCTTACCGTATCTAAAACCACTGGTTTAGTAATCTTACTGACAATCTATAAGGTTCGTTAAGGTCTGTAAAGCGCACTGAGAATCTCAGTGGAAAATGCAGCTATGCAAGTGCTTAATAAGCGTTAAGCAATCAAGGCTACAGAAAATCAATTTGTTGCTCCAGGTCTGTATGGTTTAAAGCATGTTTCCCTCACTGACTTTTTGCACAGAAAAATGTAGGTTGTGTCCTTGTCTTCTGTATTTGATACTGGATGAAGAGGATACACAACCAACAACTTCGCACTGCTTGCTGACTTGCAGTGCTTAAACATAAATAGAAAGGGTGAGAATGTCACACTTCTGCCAGTGTTCTGCTGAAGATGTGGAGTTTTTAATTGTTTTTCTGCATACCTATCAGATAGTACAGAGAATTACTCATTTTTCTTCTTCATTTTATCCAGTGTCACATAGAAGGTAGTAAACCCTTGCTCAGCTAGATAGAGTTAGCCTTACTTTTATGGTAGATGCCATTTGACACTAAGCTTTTTTACTGTGCTGGGCTCTTCTTATGTGCTTGCTTCTAATGTGCTACATTTCCTAAGTTAGCCCTCACAGTAATGGAAGATATCCAAGTTAATGTGCTTTGGTGAGCTACAGAAAGTACAGTATGACCTAATTGCTGGGAATTCCTAAGTGCTACTCACTTTAAATATATAATTATCTTAAAGGTCTTTGCTTTATTCGAACATCCAAAGCCCTCCCTGAAGACAACTCGTTACGACCTGTCAGTCTTAAAGTGATTTCAGACTTCAGAATTTCCTAGCCAGGTTATGAAATTGGTCCCTAACTAGATAGTTCCAAGGCCTTCATTATCCCTGTTGTCCAAATACATGTATGAACCCTAAGGCTGAAGTGTTTGGAACTGATGATGTCACCAAACATATGTTACCTTGTATCAGCCTAGTAGAAATAGGAGTGTCATTTTTTGGGTATAATTAAAAGTATATTTGCTAACAGAGAGGGAGGGAAAGATCCTCTTACAGTCACAGATGCTTATCCCTACACGTGTGCTCTTGCAGTTTATAAAATGGATTTAGCAACTGTGCTGTTCTGTAGCATCTCACGGATTAAGATAACCTCACCAAAATATAATGGTGGTTGGCCAAATTATCTGAAGTGTCCTCTTTTCCAATGCCCCCTCTGCTGGACCCGTCTGCTAGGTGCAACTTTCCTTCCAAAACTGCTGTAGTTGCCAGATGCTCATTAGCTTCCCAGCAGACTGTGGTCACACATACTGTAGTAGATGCTTCTTGCTTGATAATGCTTTTTTTTTATCCTGAAAGAATGGAGAGTGCCAATCAGGGAATAGAAACCAGTCCCAAATATCTTAAGAGGTCCATCTGTACTTGTGTTTTCATGGCTTAGAGATGCTATAGCTGAGCAGAAGAGGAAATAAAAATAATAGATTTTGCATTCACTAGACTGATTGGTTTGCGCTATCAAAAGCATGGTCCCCTGGCTGCAGCTGTTTTAGGAAATGAAGGCTTTGTAATGAACTGAAATTTAATTTTCTTTCTTTTTATATTTTAGGGTGAAACAGACTGAATTGTTTGACAGATGGAAGAACCTACAGATGTGCAAATGGGAAATGAATGTCACAGAAGCTAATTTATTCAAGTAAGAATGGTCCACATTAATAAGGCTGAGTAAGATTTACCTTAGTTTGTGTTTAGCTTCCTGTACAGAGATCAAACCTTCATATGGACAGCAAAAGTAAGCGTTTAATCACTATTACTGTTGGAGTACCATTCTTTTGAATAAATATCTAGCTTTTCCTGCTTCAAAAAGTCAACAGCAAGAGTGAAAGGGAGCTCTTCTGGCATGTGGAACAGTCTTCCCCAGAGAGGCAGGGAATTTGATGTGGGAAAGACTTCTAGGTATGATTCAGGCAGAAGTGAGGAAGGAGCCAAGCCTTAATGGCTGCACCTAATGCATCAACCTAACTCTCTGGTGGTGTAAAATTGGTAATATCATTGGCAACATGTCAAGTTTGTCCCTCAAAATACTCAAATGGGATTTTAGGTAGTGTCAGGCCTTGTTTATGACTTCCCTTTTTTTTTTCCTATTAAAAGCTGTTACTCCCTGACTGTCTGGATATTTTAACTGGTCTTCGGAGACCTCTGCAGTCAATTTCTGCAGCACTCTGTCTTCCTTCATGTGACTTCCTCTTTGCTGAAGATCCTCCATGGTGCTTTCAAAATACAACTTTTGAAACTGGAGTTGTGAAGTCAATAGTAGAGTGAAACCAAACCAATATTTGAATATTGAATAATGATATATTCAAGGGCCAAATTTGAGCAGATCTAGAGAAAACACATTATTTCAGAGTAAGTGGAATGTAGACTCTTTAAGTCTGTAAGTCAATGGCAGGATCCAGTGCTGTTCTTTAGAACAAGGCCCCACAATTTTCTCCTGAATTTTCTTGCATGATTGCAGGAAGTAGCTGTCATGAGTTAATGAGAGAATGTGGAAGTGCATGTGTTAGTTAGTCATTAACATCTTTAAAAATAACTAATTGTTAGTCCAAGGCTCATAGTACTTTTTCCAGTGTGAGCTCCACACATTTTTTGGGGTTTTTTAGTATACTTTTTTTTTCCGGAAATTACTTGATGGGCAATTATCAGAGCCCATTTTGAAGACAGGAGCCATTCAGGATTAGAACGTACTGTCTTGAAGACTGCTTGGTATAAGAGAACTAGTGATTGTACACAGACTGTGAAAAACACACTGAAGTATGGAGGCCAGCGCAGAGGTAGGAGCAATAAAAAAGGACTGTCTAAGGAGGACCATCATTCTGTTTCAGGCCACCAGCACGAGCACATTAAGCAAAGAACTTCTCTTCATCCTATGCGGTACATTGAGAGAAAGAAGAGATGAAAGACTGTCGCTGGCTATTCTTGCCTGACTGATGTATCACTGCTTAACAAACTCCTACTAGCACCTAGGTGTAACCTAACCGTTATTAGCTGGTTCCAGGAACAATAATCAAGGTAGTCATGGAAAAAAAAGTTCAAAGTTTGTTTCATGAGACAGAGACTTCACTGTGTGAGTGTGTAAAATGTAGTCCCTTAAAAGCAGACCAAAAGCTCTGAGTTTGGAGGTAGACTAATAGGGGGCTAAAAAGTGGTGGTCTAATAACACTGAGCTGTGGCCTTTTGAACTTTGCCGATTCTGGACCATTGGGTGAGATGGGGGAATCTAGCAAAAGTTAAATGGCAGCTATTTAACCAGCAGGGATAGAGAAAGCACAAAAATCACACTACCTTTTGTATCTGGAGACTAAGGAAAACAATTTCCTTTACAGTATTTCTCCATCAGGTATCAGACATTTACCTTAAGGAAGACCAGTTGGACATTAGATTAAAGAACAACATCTTTTCAATTCCTTAATGCAGAAGTGATGAAGAGGTTTTTCATACGTGAAATATCACAGTTGAATCCCACTACCTGCTTGTAATTAGAAATTATTCCTTGACTTACTCAATCTCAGTTGCTGCCTTGATCTGGTCATCATATTGTGTCCTTCTGCATGAGTCAAGTATGTAATAGTAATTTGGCATTACTGAAATATTTGCATAATTCTGTATTTGCTTTCTGGTGCTTGTAATAAAGCCCGTAAAGAACTGCTGCCTTATTCTTCCAACTCATAATGAGGCCACATAGCCCGGAGGCAAGGTATTTAATTTAGGTTATTTGAGAGCCATTTGGCTTTGTTTTCATGTTTATGCATTTGCCATGGCATGTATTTTTCATTAAAGGTATAAGATGTATTGACTGAGAAACAAACCAACTCTGTAGCAGGAGTGAGCTGAAGTGAGGGCTTTCATTTCCACCAGTGAAAGGAGAAAAGTATCCAGGGAAAGATGAGAGCTAAAAAGTGAACCCCTATTTAGAAAGCTTATTTTCCTATTTAAATTTCATATGGATTTATGTTAAGTAGATCAAAACTGACCTTTTTTCTCTCATGCTGTGAATCCCACTTTTGGTGTTTCAAAACTGTTCCTGTTTGCATTGGAATACCTGCCACTTTGTCCGAGGGACAAAGAAAATTTTGGCCATTTGTCTGAGATTTTGGAGTCAGAGCCATGACCAGTCTGCTTGGCACCCATCTGTTGGGGCCACATTGCCTTCCTGATACACACATACAAGGTCAAAGGCAAAACTAAGACCTTTGAAAGTATTTTTGTAATTGAATTGTGCTGTGCTCCACAGTTGTCTGGTAAGTGGGGTAGTGTCTTTAGGTATTGCTGTGTTTAAGTCCCTGCCTTGCCAAGCTTTCCACATCCCCATATGAATACTTTAACCCCTACATTTCCTGCCCAGTGGTGGGTAAACAATTTACAAAAGGTCAAAGACCTCTAAAGCAGACAGGGACTAATTCATTAGGATGGTTTCTCTAGGATTTTGAGGGCAGAAGCTCAGTTTCAGGGTCTGGAGCAGGACAGAATTTGCGCATGTATTTCCTGCAGTCTCGAAGAAGCAGGTACAGAGATCTCTTTTCTTCTTTTCTTATTTTTTTTCTCCATAAGTTATATAATCAGGGGAAATTTCACGGAATCTGAATTTTCTAAAGGAAAATCCGGAAGACTACCATTTCACCCCTCCTACAGCTAAAAAGTTTCTTTTTGCTGAAAAAATGCCTTGTTAGGAGGAATAGTAATTGCAAATCCTAAAGTGTGCTATCAGCTCCTTGATCTTATTTCTCTCTTTCATTTTACAGGTCTACTTTGTCGAGGTGTTGCAATGCCCCTGCCTTTCTGTTCACCACCCAGAAAAATACCCCATTGGGAACTAAACTGAAGTATGAAGTGGATACTAGTGGAATCTTCCATATCAACCAGGAGATCTTCAAAATGTTTCCAAAGGTGCCTCATGCTTCTGCCCATTTGAAGAATCAGCTTCACTCTACTTGCTGCATTAGATACTATAGCCAAGCATTTAGCAGTTGGCTGTTTGACATTTCTACAAACTTTATTGTTTTTACTTTGAAAATGTTTATTTTTTTATATGATATTTTAGCTGGTTATCCTATTGTCTATTTTTCATCTGCTCTAGTATACAATATATAGATATTTTTCTGCAGAATATAACTGAGCTAGTAGCAAAGTGGCTAATGAAATAACTTCAGAAAACTGAATAAAAAAAGCACTTATTGATCAGAACTTTCTAAAGGGCAATATTCATGTACAATAAATCCAACATTTTGGGTAGATCTGCTTTTTTGGGAGCATGATTATTTTATAATTCATATTCACAAAGATTAACTATTTTTATACTTGTTTCTGTTTGCAGATTATCTGTGAACAGGCTGCACAATTTTTAAATATATTCATCATAATGATTATTCAAAACCTTTTCATCAAATAAACCTTGACCTTAGGGCCATTCAAAGTTATAACCAGGGGGCTATTCCTATTGCACATAGCAACTGATGTTCAGAAATGGGTTTATATGACTGCTGATTTATAATGGGGCACACCTCATGAATATAAAGTGGCATATTTGGAGGGGATAACTGAAATTTATCCTTTCCAGAAAGTCTGAAAAATATTCAAGTTAAGTCCTTTGATTTGTGCTATTAAAGTTGTCCTTCAGGGTCTAACCACTTCTAATCCATTTGCTTTTTGAGCACTATGAATAGGTTGGGTATTGCTGTTATCTAAATGTGCACATGGGGAACTGGAGCAGAGCAGGGAAAGGGCCTGTATCCAGGAAAGCACTTTAGCATCTGGAGCCATGCAAAGAATGGATATATCTAAGTCTAGAAGTATTATCCACAAAACCCTGCCTGACTGCACAGATGAATGCATGAAAGACTACATAAATGCCTATACTTTTGCTCGGACTGCCTTATAGCTGCTGTTGTATTTAACCAGATATGCCTTCAGGATGCTTTGAAGGTGCTATCATGTGCCAAACTACCTTTGGGATTCCCTGGGCAGCATCTTTGTGGCTAAAGCCCTGCTCTGCCTAGGAGCAGGGCTGCAGCAAGGTAAATGTAGGAGATGAAGGGCTGAAAGCACGAGAGCAAGACTGTAAAGACAAGAGCCTTGTGCTTAGTGCAGAGACCAGGCTTCTGACCTCTTTCTCAGGACTGCAAGGGCATTTTGCGTTAAGAAATTACTGGATAAAGCACAAACAACTCTGTATTTCCTCTCTGTAAGGCAGCTGCTGGTTTTCTGAGACAGGTGTAATTACATGCCCTTTTGCCTCATTGCTTACGAATGCTGTGGAAAGACCCTGGGAATATTCACCCAGAAATGTCATGCCACTATTGCATCTCTCTGTAGTCTGTGGTATGAAATTATTGATAAAATATGTATGTACTGAAACAAGCGCTTTCATGCTTGCATAAGCACATCTCTACATATTCATAAGGTGTAGCACTGCTAGGTTCTGCGTCACAGCCCTCTCACCCTAACGGCCCACTTCTCAGAGATGTGATTTTCACTTTCTCTGGCTTCAGCAGCAGCTGCATGTCTGCATATGAAGACAGAATTTTGCCCAAAGAGTACAGAAAGATGTGTCCTGCACAAGTCCAAATAGATGCCTGGCCAAAGGCTGTAAGCACTGCTGGTAATACAAATGCTAATTAATAATAATGGATACTATTAAAACACTTAGTGGTAGCAAGCACTAAAATCTGGTCTAGGTTCTGATAAATAGGTGTAGCGTGCTGTCTGACTTAGAGTTCTTGGGCTTTACTAGGTGCTCTGGAGTGAGCAGACATCTCGAAAGCAGGACATCAGAGCCTGAGGAGTGAGCAGTTTGCAGGCAGCTCAGAAGGCAGTGCCTGGGGTACACTAATTTTATGGTTCATGCCTTCATGTGGAAATCAAAAGGGAAAGCAAGTTTCTAAAATTACTGCTTCCATTATTAAGTCTCGACAAAATCAAGTTATTGTTTTTTTCCCCTCTGAGTTAGTTGCCAATACTGTATCTAATTGCAGAGAAAACAGTCCCATTCATTTATGTACATCATGGGAATATTGTGGGACAGAACCAGTGTCAACTTCCTATGATGAATGCACCTGCAGCAATATGCAGCTGCACCAAAAAAAAAAAGAAAAAAAAAGGAAGTAAAAAAGAGACTCATTACCTCCATGTTCTGGGATATTTATCTAATTCCTTGCTGTGATCTTGCAGGATATGCCGTACCACCGCTCCCAGTTTAAGAAATGTGCAGTGGTTGGGAATGGAGGAATTCTGAAGAACAGCGGATGTGGCCGGGAGATTGACAGTGCAGACTTTGTGTTTCGGTAATCACCACAGCACCAATTTCATTTTTGCCTGTTTCAATGACAAATAAAGGATTGAAAAGCTATTCTCTCTCACATGGAAACATGGGATTTGCCAAACTGGCTGTATCAAGCCTGCTTTTTGCACAAAAAGTAATGTTTAAAAAAACCCCCACCTACTCTATAATTTTTATTTTAAAATTTGAGGAAGTATTTCTCCCTGACTCCATATGGTTCATCACTGGTTTCTTGATGAAGCATGATGTCCTCTTTTGGAACATCCCCTGTACTCAGGTTATGATTTATCCTTCCATGGACTTTAGCCTGTAAGCAACATCCTGTGGACATGATGGTTTTATGGTGCAGTTCTGAACCAGAGGCCCAACCTCTGTTATGTGACAGGCAGCTTGGCCAGATGTTAATAGCTCCATGCTGAACATCTCACATGTCTCCGAGGCGTGCTTCTGAGGTGGTGCAGAGCTCCACTGGAGTGGAGCTGGATAATGGGAGTTACAGTAATCAGTACTGGTGTCTCCAGGGTGTGCAGGTTGAGTGTCTTCTTATTGTACTCCCCAAGATACATGGAGTTATCCAGGTTTTGCATAGATTGGGATGTCCTACAGCATGTGTCCCTGGTAGCGGAGTTCAGCAGCACTTTTATCATCCTTAATATATATGGGAAAGATGTTTTAATTATTCATATGCATGACTAATCCCTCTCTAAATCCTGTTAAGCTCTTTGCCTGGGTCATGCCGTATGACAGCTAGATCACAGATTCATGACCTGTTCTGTAGAAGAGAAGAATATTCGCCTATTTTCTGATCTTGGCTATGTTGCTGTTAGTTTAGAATAACTGTGCATGAATCAGTGAATTTATCTGATTTCATACCAGCAAAAATTAGGCCAAATTTTGACTCATTGCGTTCTTAATTTAATTTGGCATCAAATGAGAAATAAAATTTTACAGGTCTTGCCTTCACTATTCGTTGTTTTCAGACACTTGCGTCTTCCTTTTGTGCCTGCTTTATAGGGAACTATTGTTTTAGTTTTAATCTGTGAAACAGTCCAGGCTTTACATAATTTGCTTCTTAAAAGCCTACTGTACCCCATGTATATTACATAATTATTGTAGACTCCCTCCTATGGTATTGGATCACAGCTATCAGTATGGTTGAAAGGATTGGTACATGTTACACATGGAGATCACAAGCTGATGAGTGGACGTGGACATAAGAGCAGCAAATATCATAATTTATATATAAGAACATTCAGTGGAGGTCCCGTTTTACCACTGACGCTCTCCCTAAAACTGTACCAAAAACAGATAAAAAAAGAGCTGATCAAATCACTACAGAACTTAGAAATTGGGATGCTGCTGGTATCAGTAACTAACTAAATAAAGGCTTAAGCGGAACTGAAATATTAATAAATACACTAGGACTTGTGCAAAAGAAATCCCTGGTTCCCTATCTCCAAAACACATGGAACCAGCATTACACACAAAGACATGCTGGTGTTTAAGAGCTTACAGTCTGCTGACAGAAATTTTAAAGCAAAGCTTGTGTTTAAGGCCAAGTCTGTACACATCTACCTTCCAGTCTAAAACCAGTCCACCAAACTGTCAGGAATCTTGGTCTCCAATGAAATAATTATTCGAAATATTTCAAGAAACAGCCCATGGAGCACTGCTAACATTCAGTGATAACTTCAGGACACTCGGGAAAATCTTTTGTAATCAGGAAGATTGTGGCCAGCAGGATGCAAACAATATTTTTCTATGAAAATAAATTCTGATAGCAATTAATTACAGTACAGTAGAATAGATAAACTACATGCACGTGAACTGCATTTACAGGTTGTTATTGTCTATCTCCATCTACTGGCCAGAGTAGGTAGCTGTGATGAAACATTGGATGCATTTAGAGCTGGAACTGCTCTCTTCACAGGGATGAATTTTTTGGTCGTAGGACAAAAGTACAGTTTATGAAGATTGTATCATTTTTATGAGGAATTATCACTGTCAGCAAATTCAATCTTTCTTAATCACAGAATTCTATAGCGTTTTGTGTTGGAAGGGACCTTAAAGCTCATACAGTTCCAACCCCCTTTCATGGGCAGGGACACCTTCCACTAGAGCAGGTAGCTCTAATCCCCATCCAACCTGGCCTTGAACACTGCCAGGGATGGGGCAGAGTTTACTGTTCAAAAACATTGAAGTTAAGTATGTGAAAACCTATTCCAAATACAATCTAATGAGCACAGTTCCCAGTCCTAGGTGGAAGTGAGGATGCTAGAGGATGTAAGAAGGACGTTGCATGACCTAGAAAGAAGAGTGCTGGAAATAACATTGCCTATAAGAAGGAGGAGAAGGATGAGGTGGCTAAAAAAAAATTTCTGACCTGATAGAGAGGGATGCTCTGGAAGATAGATGTGAACTCCTGAGTCTGAGAAGGACTTTGGAGGATTATTGTACTTTCTTCTCCTCCCCACTCAGCCTCTCCCTGTGACTGAGAAATGATGCTGACAGCTGAATGGTAGTATTGTGAAAACACTGAAATACCTTCACAGTTTTCTCCTGTTCAGCTTTGATCAGTATTTGGAAATACAGAAACGTTTGGGAATTAGGCACAGCAGTATTTTTGAAATGTGGAGATCTTAACAGCGATGGCTTTTATTGAGGCTTGTAGATCAAAAGTTTTCAAAGTGCCAGCAAGTATCTAACTGGCTTATTCTGAGTGTAAAACCAGTTGCAACGCCACTTATGTTGCCTCTGATAAAACACACACTGAAGGGTTTTTTTACCTGGATTTCCTATGAAAGTGAGCTTGTGAGATAGGGTGTGCGTATGCGTGTGTGTTACAATAACTTCAGCATCTCTTGAGGGATGCTCTAAATTTTGTGAGATAATGAATCTAGGTCAAGGAGGTTGGGCAAAGTCAAGGTTTGCAAGTCTTCACAAGTTTGCTCCTATTAGCTTTTACATCCTCTGGTGAATCTGTAGAGTCGGAATTGCTGCTTTTACACTGCACTGGGAGATACTTATAAAGGGAAAAGGAAGGGAAGTTTTTGGTTAATTAGGGCTGGACTGATTTGTCTCATGTGGAGCATTTTCTCTAAATTCTCTTGGGTATGAAACAAAGCGTGTTAAAGGCAATGTTATAGTTTATCTCTTAATTATTTAAGTTTTTGATTTTATAGGCTGATTATCCTTGAGGCTTCACCCATTTCTCATCATAACTGTCAAAGTAAATAGCTGACGTACTATTAAGGAAGCAAAATGAGTGAGCATTAGCTACATCTGCAAAAAGTCTCAGGGAAGCTGAGAGATCTTCATATTAGCCCCTTATAACTTGTTACTTTAATGCACAGTTTGGACATCAACATGTTTTGATACACTATTAAATTCTCAGTCTGTTTCTAGATTTGTTGCTTGGAAGAAATGTTTAAATCAACTCTACTTTCTAGTCCCGAAAAGGTGCAAGGAATTTTTTAACCTTCTTACTAATTTCTTTCCTTTGTAGATGCAATTTGCCTCCTATATCTGAGAAATACTTAACGGATGTTGGAGTGAAGACGGATGTTGTGACTGTCAATCCCAGTATAATTACCGAGAGGTATTTCTGGTTTGTTTTTTTTTTTTTTTTTTATTTTTTTATTTCCATTTCCATTTCTATTGTTTTTCCAAATCTAGCTTTCACTTAACTCTACCTGTTACAGAGTTTTCTTCCCCCCAATATTACTTTCAACTGACATGAGGAATCATATATTTCATTCTGAATTGGTATGTGGAATCAGTAACAACTGGTAGAAATCTGTTATACGCTTCGACCTGCACATTGGTGACAGAAAGTGGGAAGCTGATGAACTAAAATTGAAACAGCAGAGCTGTCCTTCCCCTAGATGGTTTGTGCCATGCTTACAAGTCCCAGGCAAATATCTCAGAAACATTCAGGGTGGAAGCAACTGGATCCCACCCTAAACGCTTAATGTAACGCACATTGTCCTATGCTTTTTAAAAAACCCAGTTAAGCTTCATAGCTAGGATTGGCTGGGTGATTTTAATTTTAGATTTGTTAATTCCTTAATGCCACCTTGCTGACAGGTCTGAGATCATGCGGCTAATTAGTGCCTTCCTTTATCTCCAGGGGAACGTGCATCTTTTCTCAAGCCACATAAAATAATTTGTGTGCATTTTGGATTTCAGTTGTCTTTACAGTTAGACATTTTAGACTTTTACTCTGCTTTGGTGTTTGCCACTTTCTTATACAGTTCTGCACTGCATAGTGCACTATACAGCTGTCCACACCCTGAAAATTTACGTCCTTCTTGTAGTAAAATGAGAAGTGAGACATGATCAGAGATGTCTCGAAAGTTTGTCTGCTGTTTAATAAATGTATTGCCAAAAGAGAGGAGAATATGTATCTTTTTGTCCTCTGCATTTTTGCCGTATATTTGATACTGATGTTTTAGCTAGAAATCTAAATATATTCTCCTCGTTAAAACTGAAACGTCATTAACTCTTTATCAGAATTACCTCTTAATCAGAAATGTTTCAGTAAAAGCCCATTGCAGTTTTCTTGTCTGCTGAGTCCTGACTGAGTCTGTGCTGGTCTCACCATCTCTCGCATCATTTTCCCTTTAGATTTCATAAGTTGGAAAAATGGAGGAAACCCTTCTACAACGTGCTACAGGTCTACGAGAACGCTTCTGTGCTGCTGCCAGCTTTCTACAATACTCGAAACACGGACGTTTCAATCCGGGTCAAATATGTCCTAGATGATTTTGAATCTCAGCAAGCTGTTTATTACTTTCATCCGCAGTATCTCATCAATGTCTCACGCTACTGGCTCGGCCAAGGGGTGCGGGCCAAGCGGATTAGCACTGGGCTGATCCTGGTAACTGCTGCCCTGGAGCTCTGTGAAGAGGTCCACCTTTTTGGCTTTTGGGCTTTCCCCATGAACCCCTCAGGGATTTTTATAACTCACCACTACTATGACAACGTGAAACCTCGCCCTGGTTTTCATGCTATGCCCTCAGAAATCTTCAATTTTCTCCACATGCACAGCAAGGGGATCCTGCGGGTGCATACTGGCACCTGCAGCTGCTGTTAATGGAGATGCTTCTTCTTCTGACGTAAAATAACAGTAACTTGATGCCTATGTATGGTGTAGAAGGTTTTATTACACCCTGAGATTATGCAATAATTGTTTGATATAAATTTCCTCAAGGCATTGCATCCCTAGGATCTAGGATACCAGCATCTTTTCTGCTAGCAGAGTTGGGTCCATAACAGTTTAGGAGAAGCAAAACTCTTCTGTCCCAGGGTATACACTACCCTGAAAAGCAAGTCAGATAAGAAGCACATTTCCAAATAGGTTTAGGGATAAACAGAGCACATTGATATATTTACCATTTCACTATGAAGAAAGCACCAAACTTCTGAGGAGAATCAGTGATGGAGAATTTTAGTGTAGACTGAATGACTTTACATAGGTTTCTGAATCAAGTACCCTGGGGCATTGCCAGATTTTAATGAAAACGTTGTTCTCTGGCATTTGGATTTTTGAAAATACTCTTTGGCATTGTAGTTTTAAGGGGAAGTTTATAGCTTGAGGTCTTTCTTCTGTAATGTCACAAAATACTGGTGAAAAATAGCAGATAGATGTGATAGGAATAAACAAGATCACTTTATGAGTATTTTCAGCCACGATAGAAGAGAGTTAAACTCGCATTCACTGCAACAGGTAACTGTGTTGATCATGGTGTGTAATTGTTGTAGAGTTTTTTCTTCCTCCCTGTGTCTTGTATTTCTGGTCTCCTTTGCTGATCATGTTTTCTTTCTCGTCGTCTGTGATGCTTTCCTTCTAGCTAACACATGAGCAGTGTGTGTACTTCGTTCTGCAGTGACTATTTCAGCTTCAGATTTTAGACCTTGTTGAAGGAATGTGCTCCTTCACACTTCTGTGAGCTTGTCTCGGACTAAATGGCAAGGATATTATGTGGTTATATTTTCTGAGCTGATTTCTTTGGTTCAGGTATCACAATGTACGACAGGAAAAAGCATTTTCTCATTGACTTTTGTTAAAGACTTTGTAAGAGTATGCGAATGTTGACTCGCTGTTGTGCAGGTTGAGTTAAACACTTTCAGGTACCTGTTAGAAGTTCTGGCAGGAAATGAAGTTAAAATATACTGAAAATACTTTGTGGTTTAGATTATGATGCTTATTTTAAAATTATCTCAAGTTGTCATATGTCTTATTTTAGCAATTCTGTATGTTAAGAATGTTATTAGGATAGTAAAAGGGCTGGTGAATTCTTGAGAACGTTACCAGTGTAACTCTGTCAGTTTTGCCAAGCTTAATTTTCCACCTGAAACAGTTAAACTGGCAAAATCCTGATGCAGAAAAGATGCCACATATTGCTGGATTTTATTTTGGCTGCCAAACCATGGTGTAGTAGGCTGCTGGTATATGCTTTTTCATATTGGTATGACTGCCTACACACAAGGGTGAGGTTTGCTGTTTCAGCTGTGCTGGCATAGTTAAATGAAGAGAGTTTCCTCATGTATATTCTTGGTGTGAAGCACTTGGGCTGTTGTCCAGTGCCTTGTCATGTCTTAGACTACAAGATCTTTGGTCAAGGATACAGAGTTTAAAGTTCTAGTTCTATATGAGGGATGCTTTTTTTTTTTTTTCCCCGGGGTGGGGGGAAGGGAGGATAAATCCAAATCTAAACTTGGATTTTGATTTTGTAATGCATGAATGCACAAAGCTTCTTCTAAAAGCCTCTGTGCTATGCTGGGAGCTGTGAATGTTGCTCACGCTACAGATAAAATGATCAGAAAGGAAGTGAAGCACTATGGTCAGCCGTTTTAGAAGTCCCTACTGACCAGCAGTGACCTGGATGGTATGTGAGAGTGTATTTCCTTATCTTTACACAACACTCCAGAGGTTTAATTATGTTAAAAGCAGCCCATATCCTTGATAAAGGTGACAGAACTTACTTGAGAAATACCAGTCAGGGGTAGGTAAAGGACCTGTGCTTAAGCTTTATGTGTTTGTGGTGTTGTGCTTTTGGTCTTAGAGGTACATAGTGTGTTAGTGAGCACCACCTTGTATTGGCTAGCTGTGAAATATGCAGCCTGCTAAGAATGAACTTGTAGATGAAATGGCTTCCTTGATTTATATGCAAAAGAGATCTTTGTCTTTGCTGTGTTTTGTACATTTATGTGCAAAGGGCTTTGATAATGAAGAGCTGTAATGAAAGTGCTATTTAGAGAGCTGTGTGACCCTGAGGGTTGGCTATCTTGCTGTGCATTAAGCTTTATGATAACAGTAATGATGCTGGAGCTGATAACTAGAGCCCTTACTCCTTATTCTGCCTGAGTATGGGACTAGTAGTGACTTCAGTTATTGCTTTGCTGCTGCTGCTTTCCTAAGGTTACCTTCTTTAGTAAGGGATTTTTTTTACTATGGTGATTGAAGTGATTGAAGAAAAACAACTGAAAGGAGTCTGATATGTTGTGAAAGATGCTTGTGAAAAGACGGGAAAGCACTTGAGAAGCATCCATATGTTGGAAAGAAATTGTGCAAATCCCTCTTTTTAGTTGCAAAAATCCTTTTGGGCTTTTTGGCCAGGCAAAAGGATAAGCAAAACTGCACTTACAAGGTCACAAACATTTCCTTTCCTTTGTTTGCTTCATATAAATGAACAATGTAAGTTCACCTAGGCTACACCATAATAAGTGCAGTTTTACTGTGCTTAGATTTTGATTGGTAGTAAATCTATAGCTACTATATTTTTTTAACGATTTTAAAATGTGTGTGCAGGATACATGCACATATGCACCAAAGGCACAATCTTGCCACATTTATTAGAAAAGAGCTCCCATTCAGGTGGGTATTTTATTTGTGTAGGGACTGCAGAAACAGGCCCGGACATGTCTGTGAAGGTGTATATAGGTGTATAGTTAGGTGTAAAGAATGATTTGCAAGCCAGAAAGAGATATATGTAAAATAGTCCTTGAGATGAAATGCATGTTGCAACATGTTTACTTTCTGATTGTTTTTTCAGGTGTTGCTCAAAAGATGATTGAAAAACTGCGGCATTTGTCAGAAATGCCACATGCAGAAGCTTTCAGATATTTTTTGGCCTCTTTACCTTGCACTGGGTGCTGGAAAATCAGGTTTCTGCTGCTGTACTGCAGCATCTGTGCGGCTGAGTGGAAACTGTGTGGTCTGAGGGTCTAAGGACGGACCCTACCTGCTGCTCTGTTCTCCATGGGTAGTAGATAAATACTGCCTGGGAGATTTTAGCTACTTGGAGGTCACTACCTGTGCCATGTCACTGTGGGGTGTGTGAGCCAGCTTTGGCCAACCTGAGCTTCTGCCCGTCCTCTTTAAATGGGTGAAAAGAAGGGCTGTTGCAGAAAGAAGGACCCTCCTTGTTTTCTTCCATCATTCTTTTGTGTAATGAACATATGAAAATACTCTTTTGACATCAAGAATATTTCTGAATTTGAGGCTATTTTGTTTTTCCTTCTCCCACGCAGTCAAAGCTCCAAATGTCCAATCTTAAACTTCTTTGAACAATGGGATACCTGAGTGGTAAGAAATGACTGTCAGGAGGCTGGGTGTGTTTTCTGCACGCTGTTATGGCAGGTAAAGGGCGTGCATAACGTATTGTGCTTTCCCACAGAACAGGCTGCAGACCCCAGACATATCCTCCAGTACAAAAATCTGATGCATCCAAGAAGACATGCAGTCAGCTGTCTGGTATGACATCCTGAGCTCAAGCTGTAATCCTGGCTTTCTTGCTGAGGATATGAAATTCGAGACAGGGAGAGAGAAAATTGTAATATCATGGTTTAATCCCCAACTTCTCATATTATTTAAAAGAATCTTAAGAAGTTTCTGAGATCTACACACACTGGCAATGCAAATTGAGTTGGAAAATCATAACTAGGACTGCTTCTCCTTTATTGTCAGGTCAACGGAGGAGGCTTATAAATCTTCCAGTGCTTTCATCAAAGGGAAGGAAGTATTTAGTTGAAATAGTTTAGCTGCTTGCTTTTGATTTATGAAATCCAACTTTACTGATGGACAGAATGGATTAAATGGTGAGAGAGCCATTATAATTTAGCATATTTTCTGTGATTGCAACAGAGTTGTCACAGCCAGCTCATGAATTGCAAAGGGAGAGCCATGCCTTGGCAGCTCCTCCTGTTGTGACCTCAGAGAGGAGAGGCACCATGGTCCCCTGGAAAAGAGATGTAAAGGGAGTACAGGAGATTGCAACCAAGGTTCAGTGCCTTTAGCACTGTGAAGTAACACAACAGAGATGATAGATGAAGTTTCACAGCTTTGCAATGGTCAGGAATAGCTATTCTGGTCTCTGACAAAAGCTGCCCCCACGCAGCCTTGACTGATGGTAAATTAAAGGTGATGCTGACTCGGGATGGTTAGATGTAGTAGACGGAAGGAAATCAACTCTAAGAATAGTCCACTGTGCGGGGGTTTGGTGAATCAGTGGAAATGTTGCTCAGACCTTGAAGGCAAAAACACTGGTGGTGACACAGCTATGTGGGTGTGCTGCCTGTGCTTGGCTCTCCAAAGAGCAATCTCTGGTTTGCATGTGAGGAAAACCAAGGTGGATAACACACTGAGACATGGAGCCAGAGGAAATCTGTCCTTTTTCATCTCCTGAGGCCTGGTGGCTTCTCAGCAAAGCTCCGGTCGTAGGGAGCATGAACTAGGGTAGTGAGGATGGAGAGCTCTGAAGTGGCCCTTTCTCCCTATCTTGCTTGCATCCGAGTGTGCAGAAAACTTTGGAGCTTTGACAAGTGTATGAAGAAGGAAACAGCAAAATTCAGCAGTCCCTATGGGCCAAATTCCTTATGAATTCTGGAGTGACCTGTTTTTTTAGGAATGTAAGAGTCAGTGTCAATGCTTAGGGCCCTTTCCAAAGTCTAGTGGAGCCTGTGGAAAGTTCAGAGAAAGCCTCCAGAAAGGGCCCTAATCATGGGCAGGAGGATCAGCCTCTTGTCTCATACTCACTTGATTTCAGATATGTTTTTTAATATTGTAGATACTGTGCAGTAGTAATACTGTGT